TATTTTTTTCAGCTGCCCATTTTCTCCCCCTATTGTTGGGATCACCAACACATATCCCTAGCCTTATTTGGGGATCTATCTTTGTATACTGTGGTAGAACAATTAAATCATATAGCACATTCATATTTCTATATGGAAATTATTTGGTTCCTGACCCTGAACCGATTGTGATAGGGAGAACTTATCATAACTTGGCTAGATGCTTACAAATGCTGTTGTATATTAAATAATACATCAAATACCAAATTTTATTTTGGCAATTTTGTTCTCATAACCAATGGTTTAGATATAATTGGAGGCATACAATTTCTACTAAACCAACTTGGATTTAAACCAGTATTATCAAGATAAATCATCATAATTTATATTCTGGAACTGTGCTCTAATAATTTGAGCAATCAATCTTGCAAAAGCCAAACTACAAGTTGATAACAAATGCACATGTGACCATAAAATAGATGCATCTATGAAAATCATATAATAGTAAACGGTCCACATGGAAGGTGACTGGGCCCATATATTTATCACCTTTTATTCGTTCCAGAAATCAAGGGATTCAATTCCTAACCTTAACTGGTATATCATGAGAATAAGCAGCACAAGAGAATTCTTGAAGAATCTTATATTTCTTCAATATATGCCAATGTAATTTTTAATTAATTTTTTCGCATCATAATTGAACCGAGATGGTCAACCGGTCATGCCAACTAATATTTATTTCAGTAAACCTCTAGTTTACTTGTGGCTTGTGATTGCATCATCATGCTTATACTTGTGTAGTACAAATAAAAGAAAAGTCAGGTAACCTTTCATATTTACCCGGTATGATTATAGTAATATAAAGATATTCAATCTTCTTTTCATTTATAGTCTCAATATGCCAACCACTTTGGCTAATATATTTGTAAATCAAAATATTTCTTTTGAGACTTACTACAATATTAATGTTATGAACAATTTCATTCATCCGGGTAGTAACAAATTAGTTCTTTCAGAGCTCTTAACTGTTTTTGTACTACAAGATCTTTTGTCACACCATCCATATAATGAATGTCTCCTTCACAAAGAGAATCATATCATAATAATTGTAATGTTCAAAATCATCACAAGCAAAATAATTTTTTTGCTTTAATTTTGCTTTTAATAACTTTCATAAGGCATGACAAAATATATTTTGGCGTATCATATGCATGCGACCAATTATATATTTATGTAACTACACAATAATATTCATTATCTTTCTTGTCTCAAACCTCCCTTAGAGGTGAATTGTAGTATTTATCCAACTATGCACAAGTACATTATTATGCATAATCTTTATCATATATATATTTTCACATTCACTTTCAGGAATGAGTATGCAATCTCAATATTTATCACAAGTCACATTCTCTTCAAAGAATTTCTCCCTTTTTATAATTACCATAGTGATAACTATTATTATTTTGGCCTTTCGCACGCCCACATTCATTGGTCAACCACTTGTCTTTATTTAGACTTATCATGCACTGCTATCACATTCACTTCAAGAATGTAACAAATCAAGTGGGACAAGCTTCATGCTTTANATTTGAGAAGATCATGGAGGAAGAGTAGACATCCACCATAATTTGATTTTTCTTATAACAAAAATATAATTATTTAATAATAAGAAAGGGCAATATGAGAGAAAAAAATAAGGTAATAACGCGAACGCATCAAATCGATTGTTACGCGACACATTTTATCATTACGTCACATTAATTTTAACGATACTATATAATAAAATCTAAGTAATAATTAAAATAAATATTATGTTTAAAATAACAATGAGATACACTATAATAGCTGACAACCACGAATATTAGTGCCACTATTAATGGAAAATAATTAAAAAAAGATTGGCTAAAAAGAAAAAAGAAAAAAAAAACACAATCCCCCTTCCTTCTTCCCGGGTTTGGGATTTTCATAGGTTTCAACCGTAAGCATATAGCGCGCGCCTCTTCTTCTTCCTACTGTTCAATTGATCGAAAAATGCGAACCAGAAATCAGGCTAAGCTACATAATCAATCAACTGGTATGTTTCCTAACTCTTCAACCAGCCCCCAAAAAACAACAACAACAACAACAAAGAATGCATAAAAATTCAATCTTTCTATTCTTGTTTTACAGTTTTTGCTAGTTTATCCTCTAACTACCCTTTTATTGGATTCTTTCATATTTCTCTTTTGATTCACTTTACTTACTGTTAAAGTACACAAGATGACACCAAAACATAACCAAGAATGCATAAAAATTCAATCTTTGTTCTTCTTTTTCACAATTTCAGCTTATTTCTCCTCTTGTTTAACTACCCTTTATTGGATTATTTCATCTTTATTTGCTAGTTGTCTTTGGGATTCAGTTTATTTACTGGTATGTTTTCCTTAACCACACTACATATTACTAAAACAAAACCTGACTGCATAAAAATTCAATTTTTAGATTTTTGTTTCACATTTTTTTTTTGCTTCTCTAGTCCTTCTTACAACCCCTTTTTGAGGTTCTTTCATGTTAATTTGCTAGTTATTTTGGGTGTGTTTTACTTATGTAACCCTTTATTGGTTTGGGTTATAGCTAGTAGCAAATGTAGTTTAAGTGAAAAAAAGGCAGACCATTCAAGGTTTGTTTCTTTGTATATCAGAAATAGCCTCTCTACCTTCACAAATTAGGGCTAACGTCTGCGTACACACTACCCTCCATAGGCCACACCTGTGGGACCACTGAGGTTTGTTGTTGTTGCATCCAAGGCTTGTCTCTTTATTTTCAATTGATGGTATATTTCCGTGATAAGTAATCTCTTTTTGTCTGACCCAAGTAGAGTCTTACTCTAAAATGTAACATTCATGAAACTTTTCAAATGACTAGTGATCGGTGATCACCGGAGAATATGAATATGCTTATACATGGACTTTTGTTATGTGCTAGTTAATTAGCTTCATTACAGTAATGCACTGAGGTTACGTTAAGTTATGTTTTCCATTTCGGACAGTAAATGAAGAATCTGTGAAACACTACAGTGAGATGGAGAGCCGAAGCGGCTGCAAAGATAGAGCCAGTGATAACGGTTTGTTATGTCGCAATCATTCATTATTGATATTAACTTTAAGAACTCTTGTTATGTACTTTAAATATGCATTGAAAATAACAGTAGAGTTTTGAGTTCTTGAAGGTTGAAACTACAGTAAGAATAACATGCTTGATTTCAGAAACTCTTGCAAACATATCTCGAGGTGCAGTGGGAAAACTCTTGAAACGAGTCAACAAGTCACGTGGCTCTCGGGGTCTGAACACAGATGATAGTTACCTATGCAAACAAGATTCTACGGGCAAGGTTTGTTTCTTTCTTGTGCTATCGCTTCAGTTGGGCAATGTAGTGAGTGAAACACTTCCTTCAGCAAGAAGTATTTAACTCTTTTTGTTCGCAATGCTAAAAAATCGTATGTGTTTCCATGTCTTAGTGTTGATGATTTAGGCATGAACTGCATTTGGACAATGCATTTCTTAATTGTTCTTTGTTTATATGTATAGCCAGAGAACAGATCAAGGGAGACAGAAAAGCAGCTTACCGGCACTACAGTGGCAAGGACTACATTAGATGCTGAATGTTGCACTAAAGATGTGTTACAAAATGTGCCATTGGAAGTGGAAAATGAAGGTACAGATGTTCAGTATCAGAGTATCGAGAGGGAAGATGAACTTGATGGTATTGATTGGGAAGACGGGTCAGTTCATACTTTGAAGCCCGAAAGCAATGTTAAGGAAGATACAAGCAATGGTGTGACTGTTGAGTTTGATGCTCTGCCTGACTCTAGTAAACAGAAAACAGTACGCCGAGCAACTGCAGAAGAAAAGGTGGTTTGAATATCATAGAGAAAAGATACGAATGCCATGATCTTACATTTTAGTCCTTCGTCGGACGTGCATCAACTTGTACTTTTCCCCCCTTAAATTGCAGGAATTGGCTGAGGTTGTGCATAAGGTTAACTTGCTTTGTTTACTAGCGAGGGGCAGGTTGGTAGATAGTGCTTGCAATGATCCTCTTATCCAGGTTCTTTCTTATTCCCGTAGCGTGATATTCTTCCCCCAATTGTCATCGATATTAGCATGTAAAATGTGGATCTGCTAAACCTTCTATCAACTATCTTACTGGATTGTTGTTTATTCATAAAGTGAATCCACCCCTACCTACCCAGGCTCCAAGAAAAGAAATAGAAGATAAAGAAAACAGGAAAGGCTATTCCAGCGTTGGTGAATTAAAGTCCTGGTTAAGCAGCAGTATGATTCTCTGTTTTCCTTAGTCAACTCGGTATAGAGGGGATGGGGAAAATAATAAAACAGTAACGAGGGAGTGAGATGATGTTACTTTTTAGAAGTCGTGTCCGAAATTTTCTTCACAGGTTTCTGAAATGATGGAGATCAGGATACAGACACATATTTTAAACTTAGAGAGACTTAAGTTAGTTTTGGGGAATATAGTGAATGGGTGAGAAAATTAGAAATATGTGGAAAATTGTAGTAAAATCCTAGTTGATGTCCAACTAGATTTGTCATCCTTCACCTTTGTTGCTGACGTGCTGTTATGGTTTTGATATGTGTTAAACTTCGAAGTTTTAGAAATTTAAAATCTCTATATGACTCATTCTCAAAAAAAAAAAAAGAAAAAAGAATCTCTATATGACTCTACAGCACATGATCATTGAGGACTTTATAGCTATGGACACATAATCTCAGATAATTCCAGCTCTAGTTATGTGTTTTTTTTTTTGGTGTCTCATTTATTTATGACATAATATTTGACTTAGCATGACTTGTAAAAAAAAAAAAAAAGTTTGATCTTTGACTTAGCATGCTTTAGCCTCTTCTGTGTGAATGATATGGAAATGCCGGTGAACTTTTGGCCTTTTAAAGTATTCCCTCCAAGTACTGATACTTATGGGAGGAAACTAGTAAGATATAAGATTTTACTTATTTTGCCAGGCTTCTTTACTTTCACTGCTGCCAGCACATCTGCTGAAGCTAACAGATGTTCCAAAACTTACCACGAAGGCGCTAACTCCTCTTGTCAGTTGGGTATGTGCTTTATGTTATCATCGTAACTGCCCTTTGATATTACAAGTTTCATTCTTTTATTTCACCTTTTACCACTGGTTGCAGTTCCACAGTCATTTCCGTGTTAGAGGTGCAAGTGATTCAGAGAAGTCATTTCATTCAGCTTTGGCATCAACTCTTGAGTCTCAGGAAGGGACCCCAGAAGAAGTATGGTTTTGCATTATAAGTGTTTTCTCGTTTTCCTGTCCTTAGCATAGCTTTTTCATAACATCGTGATTCGTGTCTTAAAAAATAAAATATACATATATATTTTTCCTTCAGATCTGATATAATATCAGGGTTAATTGCAAAACTTTGGAACTTACCTATTTAAAACCATAGTTAGAGGCTGTGCAGGCTTCTATGTCTTGATAGAAGAAACAGTGTTTAGTATATTGCCCATTGATCTGAGAAACAATCCTTTTTGTTTTTCATTATTACAGGTTGCTGCATTGTCTGTAGCACTGTTTAGGGCTTTGAATCTTACGACCAGGTAAGCTGCAATTTTTCCTATTAACTTTTACAATTAAATGGCCTCTATTGTTCTTCTATTGACTGCTGTATTATCCATTACTCTGAATGACGGCTATGTCATAAATGCTCTAAGAGAAGAAAAGAGTTCAAAATGCAGGTAAAGATTGGGGGAAGGGGGATCACTCTAAGAGAGAGACAGAGAGAGGTAAGATGCTAGGTGCAACTAAAGTTATTGAGAGCATTTAAACTATGAAGTTAAATTGTGCAGAGCATTTAAACTCCAAAACTATCTCCAGTCTGTTGAAGTATTGTTATTCCTTGTCTTACCCTAGGTGATTTCTGTTTCTCTTTTTTCCCACATATTTTCGGTTAGTTGCTAGAGCTATTGCATAGTGATTTTAACACATTTAGCAGTGAACTGCCTATTGTTGGAGTAAGGAAGTGCGTACATATAACCTAGTAAGTGCTGAGAATTCAAATTATGTGGAAATCCTCTTCTGCACACTTTTATTTTGGTAACAAGCGGCATGAGCTGGGAAGTTAGGTGACAATTTTGCACTGGAAACTTCCCTCTTGTACAGTTTCTTTATTGCATTTCGAACATGAAAACCCCATGGTGGCATACCAAAAAGGACAATCTAAGCAGCTTATTTTTTCTATGCTCAATCTTGCAAGCTTTTGGAATGCCCCAAAGCTTGCAAGTCTTTTATCTCATGAGAAATTACCTTAAAGATATCTGATGACATTCATTGCAGGTTCGTATCAATCTTGGATGTGGCTTCCTTGAAGCCGGAAATTGAGAAACCATATCCCTCTGGTCAATCCCCTAGTAAGGCTGGTAGCGGGATATTTAACTCTTCGACATTGATGGTGGCTGCACCAAAGTATTCTCCTCTCTCTCCTGCTAAATCTTTGGCTGATGGCAAGCATTACAATGACAAGTCTAGAGCAACTATTACAGATAAGTCTAATAAAAGAATGTCGCCATCAACATCAGATGCTCTACGTGATGCTAACGACGCATGTATTATGAAGAGAGAGCAGCCAAAGAGAAAAGGGGATCTTGAATTTGAGATGCAGTTGGAAATGGCTCTTTCTTCCACCGCAGTTGAAATAGTTAGGAACACTATGGTCTCAGAAGTGGCGGATGTACAAAGTACTTCGTCAAATGTATCACCGTTCAAAAAGAAGAAAATTAAAGCAGAAGAGTGTTCGACTTCCTCTCATGGACTATCAACTGCTGTTGGATCTAGGAAAGTAGGGGCGCCTCTATACTGGGCAGAGGTCTACTGCAGTGGTGAGAATCTGACGGGGAAATGGGTGCATGTTGATGTTGTAAATGCAATTACTGATGGAGAGCTAAATGTGGAAGCTGCAGCTGCTGCATGCAAGTCACATTTACGATATGTTGTTGCTTTTGCTGGAAATGGAGCTAAAGATGTTACACGCAGGTTTCAATTTCTTGCTGCTTTGGTGTTCCAAATTTCATTGGGTGCTGTAGTTTCTCTTGGATTTAGTTTTATTAGTCATTGTTTTATATATAATCTTAGTCATGTTATCTGCAGCGTGATGCTCCTCTTCATGCATTCATATTTTGAATTTCAAGATTTTGACCCAGTGACTATGTTTTGTCCATCTTGATTTACTCCTTGGTCTTATTACTATAAAATTACTCTTGTCATACCATCATAGTTTCACAGGCAGAATCTTAAAGAGGTGTTTCTTTCCCCTGTCATTTTCCCCTCATTTTACCCCTTCCCCTCATAGACGACGTGCAAGCCATGAGTTCTGAGGTTTATAATTTGTTGCTCAATCATCATTGTCCTCATCATTTTGCTTATGATTCTAATTAGGACAAGTACTCGTATTATTATTATTANGTTATTGTTATTGTTATTGTTATTGTTATTGTTATTGTTATTATTGTTATTATTATTATTATTATTGTTATTGTTATTGTTATTGTTATTATTGTTGTTGTTGTTATCTATTTATGGTTGTCAATTCTAATGGTTGTCATGATTATTTATTTATTTATCTATTTATTCTATTCCAGTTTTGAACTGAGATAGCACTCAGTCGCATAAAGTAGTTAATGATTAAGCAAAATAATGAGGAAAATTTTGGCAAAATTCTGGGGAAAGGGAAATAGGGCATCCTAATAACCAAAACATCTATGTTGTCACATGATAACTATATATGGGACATGGTAGGTTTCTGCTGCTGAACCTATACTCTTCCATTACCATCCTAGGTATTAAAAAAGAAGTATGAGCCTCCTCATCACAGCAAAATTTGGTAATCAATTCAGAAGCTTTTAAATAAATTGGAAGAATTGACTTATAAGAAACAACAACAACAACTATGTCTCAGTCCCAAACAGTAGGGGTCGGCAATTGAGTTTTAAAAAAATATTAAAAATGGGAAGATTCTATAAGAATTAAATTAACTTGGTGGATGCTTCTGTGTAATGTCTTTCATTTTCTTTTCAGGTACTGTACAAAGTGGTACAAGATAGCATCTGAACGAGTCAACTCAATTTGGTGGGATGCAGTATTGGCACCATTAAAGGAGTTGGAGTCCGTGGCGACCAGTGATGTTGTTCATTTGAGACAGGAAACTTCTGATGAAAGCAAGAAAACAGAAGTAGCACAATCAACAGGTATGCTGGATATGCATGAACATAGCGAGAAAAATTATGCAGAATTCTAAACAAGGAATTCTTTTACAGCAACCAGGAGCTCTCTAGAAGATATGGAGTTGGAAACTAGGGCACTGACTGAACCTCTTCCAACAAATCAACAGGTATAACAAACACAAGTATTCACTAAAATTTGACTACGTTGCACTGATAGATTTGTTTTGAACTAATTTGCTCTGCAGGCTTACAGAAACCATCACTTATACATAATTGAAAGATGGCTTAACAAGTATCAGATTCTTTACCCCAAAGGACCTGTATTAGGTTTTTGTTCTGGTCATCCAGTATACCCACGATCCTGTGTACAAACACTCAAAAGAAAGGAAAAATGGCTTCGTGAGGGGCTCCAAGTGAAAGCTAACGAGATCCCTGCAAAGGTTTTTGTCTGCACATAAATCTTCTATTCATCTGCAATATGATTTTTGATTGTCCACAACTCTGCAAGTACCTTAATCTGCTTTGCTTTTACGGTTAGGTTCTGAAGCATTCTGGAAAGCAGAAAAAAGAACAGGATGTTAAGGATGATGATTATGGCGAGGAGGATTGTGGAGGAACTGTCGCCCTCTATGGACAGTGGCAAACTGAACCACTGTTTCTTCCTCCTGCAGTAAATGGCATTGTACCTAAGGTGAAGCCTTCTAAGTGATAGAAGTGTTGAGGAAGTTGAGATTTATTTGGGATTTGACATTTTATGCTAATTTACAAGCATTATACTTCACAAGTGCACGTTTTAATAGGAATAGGTTATGACTTGTTTTATGGCAGAAACAATGAGTGAATAGAGGACAAAAAGGTTTTCTGATTGGGTGAGAGTACTGAAGAAAGTAGGAGGTTGAATGGATTTTGCTTAGCGCATTCTTTGACATGTTCCATGCCCATTATGTTTTGGTTTTAGGTTATTCTGGTGCTAAGTTACAAAAGTAGCTAATTGGGTTAATGATTTTACCTATTTCTTGTGAAGGAGAAGGGATAGGGAATAGTGGAAGGGTACATGCATATTCATGTTCCACCTTTAAAGCTTTAGTTGCAGAAGGGGAAACAGAAATGATCTTCCTGCACTTGTTTGTCTTGGTGTAAAGTGAGTGATGCCGATGTCGACAATTGTGTTTCAGTTTTTGTTTGTCCTCCTTTTTTGGGGTGGAGGTGGGGTGAGCGGCATCTCTGAGTCCTGTCTTTTCCTTCTGACCTTCATGACATTTGCTGCAAAAGTAATACAATTTTGTTCAGATGTGTGTGTTGGTGGGGTATTGCACATTTGGCCAGGGCACACCAACAAAATAAGATCAATATTTGTTTGGGCCGTGCTTGTGATAGAGTATTTACACTTCTTCCCATCTGAGAATCTCCATCTGCTCTAAGTGGGTGCAAGCTAGAGTTTTATGTTAACTTGGTTGTTCAAAAGATTGTCTCTTTGTCCTTTGCATCTTCATCTTTTCAAAAGCCCAAATCTGCATTAGACCTCTTTTATCCTTTTACCACATGATGTAAAGCTATGGATTTCTTTTGACTCTAGCGTGTAAACCTTGTTTTATCCATCTGGTTTATGCAAATAAGATCAATATTTGTTTGGGCCGTGCTTATGATAGAGTATTTACACTTCTTCCCATCTGAGAATCTCCATCTGCTCTAAGTGGGTGCAAGCTAGAGTTTTATGTTAACTTGGTTGTTCAAAAGATTGTCACTTTGTCCTTTGCATCTTCATCTTTTCAAAAGCCCAAATCTGCATTAGACCTCTTTTATCCTTTCACCACATGATGTAAAGCTATGGATTTCTTTTGACTCTAGTGTGTAAACCTTGTTTTATCCATCTGGTTTATGCACCTCTCATATATCCAGTTCTCATTTCTCTGTCTTCTCCTTCTGTTTAAGAATATTTCTTTTGATATAAAGAGTTAGAGACAGAGGTATGTGCCTTATTCGAGTAGGACAGGTTTAATGTCTGCCGAAGCTTCCATGATCTTAATTCTTAGCTACTGGTAGTTCCATTGTCATCATTCCCTCTTCCTTTGCATTTCTCTCGCAACTAAGGTAATTTCTTTTTTCCCCTTCTTGACCTTAATAAACATGATAAGAAACAACTTCAGGATCTACATTGATAATTCATCATGCCATATTCCTTTTGTGATCAGTTTTTGCATCTTCTGGATGTTTTTATTAATGAAGTCTTATTTTACCTGATCAAAAAAAAAAAAAAAAAAAAAAAAAAGGTCATCATGCCATATAAGAGAATAGATCTTGAAGAATTTCAATATTCTGTGTATAGTTAAAGGAAATTTTTTAACATCCTTAAAGTGTGTGTAATCAGTCCAATTGTACAGTTTCAATTTGAAACTTTGAAATCTCTTCTGCTAGAATATTCAGTTAAACAGCTCTTAGTTGCATACTTGCATGTTATCTGGAGAATAAGCAGTTCTGTGCAATTTTCCTCTTCAACTACACTCATTGACAACCTTCAACATTTGGTTCTGGTTCATTTGTTGGCTTCTTGAGATAGTTTCATGGAGCAGTTGCTCAAGAAGGTTATCAGTCCCTGTTCACACATTAGACGTGTTACGTTTATATGTACACCGTTTTGCTTCTTTTCCTTTGTGTAGCAGATGGAATAACTGGCTACAAGATTTAGCTCCTCAATTTTTTGGTTTATTTGCCGATCTTGTCTCTATGGTTGTTTTTGGCTAGGAAGTGACAGTTGGTATGTGGCTTTTTTTCTAGAATGAGCGTGGTCAAGTGGATGTCTGGTCCGAGAAGTGCCTTCCACCGGGCACAGTCCACTTGAGATTGCCAAGGTTGGTTCCCGTTGCTAAAAGGCTAGAAATTGATTTTGCACCTGCTATGGTTGGATTTGAATTCCGGAATGGTCGATCTCTTCCTGTATATGAGGGGATTGTGGTGTGTATCGAGTTTAAGGATGCAATTCTCGAGGTAAATAATTGCATTACTGGAATAAATTTCCATTGCTTGCTTACATATCTTTGACGTCCTTTGTAATGGGGGACCAATCATGTTCTGGGTAAATTCACATTCTTCACCTTTTCTGAGTCCGCATTGCAAAACTGGTCATGCTTAAGAAAGTACGTGGAATACTTATCCCATATTGCAATCAGATAAATGATGCCTATTTTAGGGTGGGTTCTTTGCAAATTTAAGAAGGAAGGCAGAACAGAAAAATGAATGGAGGTGCTTTCTGTTTCTTTGCAAGAATTTATCTCCTGTACCAATTGTTTTGATCAATCGTGTTCCAGCACATTCTTTATGGTGTACATGGAGGTCAAAGTTCCTCATTCCTCACTTTACTAGACATATGGGAAACCAAGATATTTCTAATGTCTTCTCCTTTTCTTTTCAAGTTCTTTTGTTGGAGGCCCGAGTCAAATGGAATTGAAAAGACTTTTTTTTATATTTATAAACAAGGTGGCATCTCGAAAGTGCGGTTAGTGGTGAAAGATAGAGAATAAAACAGATATATGATAGGATTATTCTTTTGTCCCAAATGTGCAACCGTCAGTAAAGCTTATGGTTGACTACCTATCTTTTTCAGTACGGAACTGTACTTTGGGAGGATTCGATTTTGTTTAAAAATATTTATTGCGTCTAATTCGTATTCTTTCTTCCCCATGTTCAAAATTGTCTTATCTTTGTTTATGTGGGTCTCCATGTCCATGCCAACTTAGTATTTAATAAGGTCTATTTGACATAAATTTACCAAATAAACTTCTTTTAATTCTTGGCGCGCACGCACACACACGTACTTTTCTCTTAAAGTGCTTGAAGGTTTTCTTTCTAATGCTATCAAACAATTCCAACTATTACTGTATTTGAAGCCATCCGGCAGAACTAATGTTGAATTTGTTGAGATGTTATCAGACATATGCAGAAGAAGAGGAGAGAAGACAGGCCAACGAGAGGAAGAGGTCTGAAGCAGAAGCTCTTTCTAGGTGGTATCAGCTTCTTGCATCACTTATTACCCGACAGAGGCTACACAATTGCTACGCGGACGGGGCATCCTCACAATCAGCTATCAATTTTGCAACATCCAATGATAAATCCTCCCTACTAGCTCGTGGCACTGAGGATACAAAAACGACTCCCGAATACCAGCAAGAAAAATCTGAGATTGCCCAATCCATTAGTCCATCAACTGTACTTGCAGAAGACCACGAGCATGTATTCCTAGTAGAAGATCAGACTGTTGATGAAGAAAGTTCAACAAGGACAAAACGTTGTCGTTGTGGGTTTTCAGTTCAATATGAGGAGTTGTAGAACTTTTGAATCGCTCTATTTCATCTCGTGCAAATGCGCTATGAGTAGAGGTTGATGTAAAATACTCATGTATGTATCATCAGAACATGACTTTCATGCTTAGGCTGCCTATCCAAATTAGAAAATGTCTAGTTTTCATCCCTTCTATTAGCTTTTCATCACCAGTTTCATCTGGCTTTTGTATCAAGCTTTATGTGTCTGCTGTTGTACTCCTGTAAATTGTTCTCTAGTTATCCTTTAAAAGTACACTATCCTAACAATTCAGCAGTTTGTGTTTCCTATATTTACAGATGGTATTACTCTTGAAGGCAGCTGGGAGGAACATAAACTGATGTCTTTTCTTCAACTGAAAAGATTCTAGAAAGAGTAATAAAAATGGTCACCGTAAGTTTGGGGTTAGGTTTAAGATTGGTGGAAATGACACGTAGCTATTTTTAAGCGTGCTGTTTAAAATATATCTATATTTACAATGTATTTAAAGATTAGCCAATCCGCTCAAACTTCAGGACACGGTATCTTAGAGTTTAAACTTCAAAGTTCAAACTTAAGAACATCGTGTCCTAAAGTTCGAAAGTTGTGTTGGAAAGTTCGAATCTTATGTCCTGAATTTTAAATTAGTAGTTCATAAATTCAGGATGCTTAGTTTTGAATTTCAAATTAGCAGCTCAAAAATTCAGGACACTAGGTTTTGAAGTTTGGTTGAATTGGCTAATCTTTAAATATATATATTTTAAACATCTGGCTTAAAAATTGCTATTGGTGCACTTCACCATTAAGATTGTCCTTTAGATATAATCCTTTAAGTCTGCCAAAAGTGAGCATATTAAACTCTGTCAAATATTTAATATCCAAATTAATGGGAAGTTGGAAAAATAAAAAGAGAACTTCTTTAGCCAGAACTCGCATTTGAAGGTATGATTTTTGCATTTTTTTTAAAAATTTTTGGTGTCTGGTGTTGCTTTTTTAGCTGCCATTTCTACTTAGTTTTAGTCTATTTCTGATTTTTGGTGCATTCTTTGTTGTTGGAGTTTATGGGATTTCCTAGTGCTTCTGATTAAATCATTTTTTAAAATCAGTTCTCGTTTAAAATCAGTTCTCATTTTTTTTTTTTTTTTTTTTTTTTTT